CTGAAACCTGAAACCTGAAACCTGGGTCCTCATTTCACCCACCTCGGAGGGATGGAAGGCTGAGTCAACCTTGAGCCGGTGAGATTTGAACAGCCGAACTGCAGAACTAACAGTCAGCTGAAGTGGCCTGCAGTACTGCACCCCTAACCACTGCACCCTCAACAGCAAGTTTAAATGGTAATACTCTACAACTTTCTTCCCATACTTGTTTCTTCGTATTCAGATAACAAAAATAGACAGTATTCTATTACTGCTTATGTTGTAGAAATCTTTCCAAAGCAAAAACCAGAAAGAAACTTCTCCAAGTGACTGGAAAGTTCTCCATTGACAGTTATTTTATCAGCAGTGTTAGTCAGCATTCTATGCTAAGATTATTCATGCAATACATGGAACAATTTCTAAATTAAGAGCAAGTTTGTGGGATGGAGGATCCCGTGTTTTTTCATATACATATCATTAAAAAAAAATCCCCCAATTTTGGGGCTCTCTTGCTATTTACTACCAGGTATGTACTTACCAAAATGCTCCATCTGTTCAAGCAGCACGACAGCACAATCCTGCTGCCTGGGATAATGTTTGAGCATTTTTTGAAAAACATTTTGAGGAATAAAGACTTTCTTAGGGAAGACATCCAAGATTTTGTTGTACACATTGACATCCTTCTCCACTCCAAATTCTGGCATTTTCTTCAGAGCTGCATAGATGAACTCTACGTGACCCGTGCGGCGAATATCCTGCTTACAGAAGATTTCCACAGCTTCCTGAAATGTAGCTGAAGTTTTTTCATGTTCAGATACTGTCTCGAAGATATCTTCGATTTTCACTAGCGATTGTTTGGCAGATTCTTTGTCCGGTTTTTCATGCTTCTTTACAGCAAAGTCGGAAGTGCTAAGGACTGTGCTCCTTTGAATACTTCTCACGGGAACCAAACTGGAGTTCTAAGACGAAGTTAATTGGAGAGATGTAAGAATTACAGACTACAGATTACAGATTACAGAGTACAGTCAAAGAAACGTTGCAGATAAAATAGACTCACATTTTTATGCAGTCTCAGAAATTAAGAGAAGTTTTTAGGATTTTTTTATTATTATTATTATTTTGTACCTGGAAGTAAGAGCTTCTTTGTGATTGTATAAGATTCTTTTTAGGAAAGAAGGATCTTCTTGCAGAAAGCTGCCCAGCCACTAATAGTGCCCTGAGACACTTCATGACAGTCCATCTGTTTTCCAGAACCAAAATTGGGATCTCTCAACTTCCCGTTACATGCTTCCAGGAAAATCAAAGACCTAAAAATAGAAGAAGGTGAAATTATGGTTACATTCAATGTCACAGCATTCTTTATGCCCATAAAACCAAGAATCCATGGCAGCCGTACTACACAGCATTCTCAAACTAGCCAAGGTGGAGATAACCAGAATCATGGAACTCATCAATCTCTGCCTCACTAGCAACTTTCAATTTGATGGACAAATATACCAACGTCCAAAGGATCATCATTCTCATAGCAGAGTCTGTAATGCAGCATCTAGAAGCAAAAGCACTCCAACATATACAACATACTGGGGGGGGGGGGGCTTTGCCCAGGTTCGTCTGGTGCACCAATCGTGGCCCTATTTGGATCGGGGGGCACTTCAAACGGTTACTCACGCCCTTGTCACCTCAAGGCTGGATTATTGCAATGCGCTCTACATGGGGCTACCCTTGAAAAGTCTTCTGAGACTGCAATTAGTCCAGAATGTGGCCGCGCAAGCGATATTGGGTGCACTGAGGTACACCCACATTACACCTGTCCTCCGCGAGCTGCACTGGCTACCTATTGGTCTCCAGACGCAATTCAAGGTGTTGGTTATTACCTTTAAAGCCCTACATGGCTTAGGGCCAGCGTACCTTTGAGACCACCTACTGCCACATTCCTCCCAACGGCCATAAAAGGAAATAACTTTTTCAGACCTGGCTCACGCTGGCTGCGAGCCCAA